CATGTGCCAGTGAAGTCATTCATCTTTGATTGCCATGCTGTCGTGCTGCTCAAGGTCCCCAGGTCCCCAGGGCCCCAGGACCTCAGACTTCAGGATCGGATCTTGGCATTGGTCTTTGCCATTGTGCCATCATGGTCGTCATGAGAGGCAGCGGCAGCACGGACAATGAGGGCCAACAGCAAGGTGTTGCCTCTCTTATCCATATGCTTGGGGCGCTCGGTGGTGCCCGGTCAGAGGCCTCAGCTGCTGCATGGCCCGAGGAGCAGACCGCCGATGTCATGGCGACACGGTCGGACCTTCAGAATGCCACTGAGGAGGTAGTGGCTCTGGTCATGGGCGAAGCTTTGCAGCCAAGCATTCTCCGCATCGATGCAGATGCGGTTCAGGCCCACTGCACGTTACCCTTATGTCGTTCAGTAATATGTTGTTTCAGTATGATGACTTAAATATGGACAAGGGTGAACAGGGCAGTCATGAAAAAAACCGTCAGCATCCCTGCGGCAGGGCGATCTCGACGGCCCCAGACATTTTGAAGGCCACCTACGACACCAGCGTGCATTTCACGTGGGGCTTGGCATCGTTCAACTGCCTCCGAAGCTCGTTCTTCCCCGACGGAGTGAGGACGCAGCAGGCTTCCAATGCCCTCAGCGTGCGAGTCTTGCTTGAATCCAAGACATGTTTAGGTGCAACGGTGCCCTCCACTTGCATTCAATTTTACCTTGACTTGACACTGATAACCCCACTGCATTTGAAGCTGCTTGACCCATATCCCGAACTTTGAACAGCCAAGCAGCCCAGGCTTCCCATTCCAGGACGAATGCCTGTACGATCGCCTCTCGCAGCTGCTGTCGCAATTGCCTGCTCGGCAGAGCGTCCCGCAAAAGTACCAGGTTGTTCCGAAGCCGCATAAATGATGGGTTTGACAAGAGTTTGAGAAGACTTTCATTGCCAGCCTTTGCACATCCGAGTTGTCCTGCTGCGTGCGGGAGTTGCTCGAGCAGTTCACGATTGAGCGAGGGTATGCGCATGTGCTGCTGAACCCGTACATAGTCAATGGCGTGGCCCGTGGCTGTACATTGCAGTCTTTTGCGGCGCCTTGACAGCATTGGCCATGCAGTTAGCCAATGCGAACGTGTATCGTTTTGAAATCGTTTTGCCCGTTCCTTCTTCAGGATTCCAGTCCCGAGTGGAATGGCTGGATGCTCCCGATTCAGCAAGACGGAAATCTGCTCCATATCGCTTTCTATGCTGCCGATGTGGCAAGCTTTGCGGAGTCGTTCATGAAGAAGACGGGCCTCATGAAGATGGGTCAAAAGCAGCTCCCCGTGGCTGCTGCTGGCCAATGGCAGCCTGTGGAACAAAGGACAGGTTAATGTGTGGGTTGCGTTTCAATGTGCGCGACACAGCTGCCGTGTCTTTTAGATGGCGTGTGCAGACCTGGGCACTTGTCAGGAACATGACATTGGTGGAAGGCTGCTTCTTCAGGGAGCGGTTCACAAAGGAGTTTGTGGAGCTCCTGAGCAACTGTGGCATCCGTCTTCATGTCCTCAGCGCTCCTGTCTTGCGACTCGGCACAGCTCGGGCTACAAGGCATCACTTAGATCTGAGTCTGTGTGAATGCGTATACATGTAGATTGGATGATGTTTGCTTGAGGCGGATGGACCAGCTGAAGCTTGTCACAGAGCTCGAGGGTGGCAACAGTCAGTGGTGGGCAAGTTTGCCACAGGAGGAGTCAAAGTTCCCAGGCAGTGTCTGGGTGACAGCGGACGGTTTTTTCTACACGTTGGCCCGCAAGATCTTCCCGACCTGCTCGAAAAGCTTCGTCACACCTGTGTACACTCTCCAGGTTTGGGGCTGCTTGCTTGACACTGCTGCTTGTAGCTGCAGGTTGCAGGATGTTACGTGCTATGTCCTTCTGAATCTGTTGCAGGCAGAAGTCCTCAAGGGCGACCTCTATGAGTCCGATGCTGACTTCAAATTCACCCGCAAGAGGGAAGTGGGTGTTGGCTGGATCGGCGATACCTCTGTTGATTGGGGCTTTGGCCTAGATGGGTACACGTTTGTGCCTTGTTCGCATGTATGCCTTTCTGTGCATGGAAGCCACCGCAACATAGTCTGAAGCAGCTCGGGTTTCATGTGCTGAGGACAGAGCCATCATGTTCAAGAAGATACCTCTGGTGGTCAAGTTTCGTCGTGATGCTGACTCGAAGGGTCGGCCATTTGAGTTGCACATTGCGCGATGCGCAAAGTGGGGCCAGGGAGTGGACACGGCTGTGCGTACTGCCAAATCTCAGCTTCAGCCAGCTGCTCAGGGGCAGCCGAGTGCTAGCACTGACGGGCCAGGGGATGGCTGGACGTCGACGTGGTAGATGGCATGGATTCACTGCGTCCTGTTTTGCCTCTGCAGCCTTGCAGCCTACCTATTGAATCAATATGTAGAAATCCTGCATATTCCATAGTAACTGCCATAGTATTCAGCTCCTCAGGCTGCTCGGCCCCCAGGCTCCCAGGTCCCCAGGTCCAGGAGCCGTGAATCTGAACATTTTGCTGCACTGCCTTGGGCAGCTGGTCACGGCCCAAATCAAACAAGTAAATCATTCCATAGACATGATGACCGCACTGGGCTGGACGGGCTGCCCTTGTGCGACAGCCGACGTGCAAGCACTTGCAGCTGCCGACAAAATAGAGTTTCGGCAGTGTCTGCTTGGAAGCACATGCGGAATTGAGGGTGTGGGTTTTAAGGTGTTGAGGGTTGGTGACTGCAAAGCCAGGTGCATGTGGCCTCGGCTGAGCTGCTGAGCTGACTCTGGGCTTCTCGAGGCAAGGCAGCACCCTTCAGTCTGCAAGAAACACCCTGCAAACATGATTTTTCAGCAAAGTCCAATCTGAAGGGTCCCGGAACACGGTTGAAGGGTCGGCGGTGGATACGTGCAAGTTGCAACTAAGCCCTAAACCCTAAATGTCTCCTTAAGATGCCTCTTGAGGCCTGGGGGACCGGCCGTTGACGACCGAGCTGCAGGAGCACCGTGGTGTTCAGGGTTTAGGGTTTAGGGTTTAGGGTTGTGGTGTTTGGGGTTTGTTTAGTTTCGTGGTCTTCGGAATGATTTTTCGCTTTATTATGATTAATAGCTTGGTTAGTGTTCTTCAGATTTTTCCGTGTTGTTGGAATGAAGATCCAAGGCACTATGAACATCGTATTCTTTTGTATTGCGCTTAAATGGGCGCGCAAGGTTTAGTTAGGGCTCGTGGTTACAAGTTTTGCAGGGTGTTATAAGGCTTTATGCGGTTGTGCACGGTCTAAACCCTAAACCCCTAAACCCTAAACCCTAAACCCCCAACCCCTTAAACCCTAAACATTAATAGTTGCTGCAGGGCTTTATAGAGTAATCGGAGCAGTGTTGTGCGGTATATCTTTCAA